AAAAAAAATGATAAATGAATAAATTAGAAATACAAAAATAAGAATTGAAAAAAAAAAAAAAGGAAAAGTCTAAGTTTTTTTCTTTTTTTTTTCAAAAACATAAAAAAATCAAGTAAATTAATTATTTATCATTCTGTATTTCCCTTTTCATCAACTCTTGCAAGAAATCATTCCAAGAATCAATTGGTCCAGGCAAACACCAATGCACACAATCGCTAATCAATGTCACATTCGGCACAGGCCAATGTCCATATTTACTTGGGTGTCCATCTGGTCTCAATAACATTGGCTTTGTAGCATCAAACAACCTAATTTTCAACCCATTTCTTCTCCCTTCTTTCTGTGCAACCCTTAACTCCTCCAATTGAATTATATACATTTCCAAACTAAAATCTTCCAAAACCGCCTCATTCCTTTTGAATGGCCTCGTCCGAGCACAATCTCCACCTTTGTCCCACGGCCCGCCTTCAAAGTGTGACGGTGCAAACGTTCTGAGAAATGTTACGCCCTTGGGATTATTTGCGTCATTTATTGCCCGAAATGCTGTTCGGAAAGCACGCCGATAGCTGAAGTAAGAAGTCAGGTGGCTGACGTTGTCCTCGGGGCAGTAGAGGCAGCCGACTAGACGGTGGTTGAGATAGAAGTAGGTGGGTCGGAAGAACCAGTGGCCAGCGGAGATTATTACGTAATCGAAATTTTGGATTTGGTTAGTCCAATGTTCATCAAACTCGTCGAGAAATAGCTTGAAAGGGCGTGTGACATCATTGCGATTGGTTTTCTCAGTTTTTACCAAATAGGGAGACCAAAACATGGATACGTTGAAGTTGTAGTCAGTGTACTCGTAGCGCTTGTTTTGATCGGTCTGATCTGAAAGGTCTAGAGGGTACACAACCTGAAAAAGGACACTAAATTTTAATGTACATTGCACCCGATTAAATAAAAATTGTATAAAAATCTCTTGTTCTGTACATCCCATTGAGATGAAGATATTGAGACAAGCCAGAGAGAGAGACAAACCCTAGAGAGGAGGCAAATCAAAGACTGCATGTGATTTCTTGCCACTGAGTCTCCAACAAATGCTATCGATTTTCCTCTAACAAGTTCCAAAAATTGATCAGGATCAAATATAGGCAATTCACAAGCATCAGGTTTCCACTTCCACTTGAGAAATCCTTCATCAGGCCTACCAAATCTCATGCAATTTTGATGCTCTTGAATTGCATTGCATGTCATATTTGTGTAATACGGACCCTCTGGATTTGGCACCCATTCCCCAGAAAATAAATCACAATTTTCGTAATCTAACACTTCTGATCGTACCATGCTACGATCATTATTACTCGATGGTCTCTTCAATTTTTCTTTTGAAACTTTTGGAGGTGTTAAGTACGTTGGGAAGGAGCGTCTAAAATTTTTCGTTCTACCCCTTTCTGTTTTTTTTCTACCTACCATTTCGCCCTTGGCGGAGCTTGGTCGCAGTGGTGGATTCGTATTCTTAGCCTCCGATTCTTCTTCATTAAATTTTGATGTTGCCTTTGTTATATGATTTTCTTCTTGCAAGTTATTAGCCTCCAGCTCATTTTCATTAAATTTTGGCGCTGTCTCCGCATCCTCATTCACATCATCCCTTTTGATGATGATTGGCTCCACCGCGGCTCGGCCTTCACTAGGGCTGCACCGCTGCGTATAAACTCCAAGTGAACAATCTTGATTATTTTCCTTCGGAGGAGGGTCTAAATCAATATTTGGTGTAACAGAATCCTCTAAAGATTCATATAAATGCCAAGCTTCTGATATTTTT